ATAACATACAACATGAAGCGGCAAAAATTAAAATTAAAACTCACAGAAGCCTCACAAAGGGGCAGCATGTAATAAATTGCCAAAAAAGACAAATATGACATTACTACATACATGTATACATATACATGGAAAAAAACCAACAACAACAACAATTACACAAAAAACTCATGACCACGAGGCAAATAATTAGAGGCGATGCAGGGGTTGGTGGGTGTGTAAGCCAAAAACAAACAAGTGTAATCTGCCAGCACTACGAGGAATGAAACTGAAGCTGGCAATACCAACACCCCTCCAAGACGTAATCGCTGATTGGTCAAAAGTTACTATGGACTAATTAACATATACTACGATACCTTATATGGTAAGACATCTCATTTGCATAGGTAAACACTATCGCTCTTCACAGAGAATTTAAAGCCAAAATGGAACGATTATGTTAGTGCAACATAAGAGGTCATACTATTGTTATGAATAGGGGAATCCCCGCCCGTCTCAACCCTAGGGTGAGACAAGGAAACTTTTAAAATACACCTAGGAATGTAGCACATAACTCCTCCAAATAAACATGAAAAAATTCCAAAACATAATCTGTACATCACAGGCTACAAAAGGTGAGAAAATATTGAAAAATTAAAAATATCTTCAAAGTAAATGATAGCGTATCAAAATTTTGAGTACCAGACTTACAACAATAGACTTGGAGGAAGTGGCTCTTGGCCAGCCGGCTCAACCATAACCAATAGTTACTACGGACGGGCAAATCCATTGATAACATCTTCGATATTGGCAGCGATTTTTTTGACAATTGTCACCACACACAGTTGACCAACTTTGTCTAGCCACATCAGAACAAAAGTTATCCAACTGTCTTGAAGTTCTTGTTATATACAATAATGCTAATTGTATAAAGATTTTCAAGATAACGTTATTTTAATATTTTTCTATTGTTATTCATACATAAAACACCAGGTATTCTTGCAATGTGTCAATTAATTTAAAAGCCCCTTTTTTGTGGAAATAGAAATGCCAAGTAAATGGGTAATTATAAAGATACTATGCAAATATACTTTTGTATATATTAGACAATATTTGTCGCTACATTTTATACGAATTATTAATAGCATCAATATTATCATCAAATGTTTAAATTTTATTACTGATATAACGATAAATAACAGTTCTATTGGTTTCTTGAATACATTGTTGACATTTAAAAACCATGTCTTTGCGTGGACAAAACAGCTGGTCGTGTATGTTATTGATTTCAGGTAATATCTACAATTGAAATACTTGTAATTTTATAGCATACATAAAATTAGTCCCTCATCCTGCCAATTGAAGTGTCCTGTGATAGAATTACAATGGTTCTCGACTAATTAGTAATACAAATGGCTTGGTTTCTGCAGCTGCCACAGAAAAGACATGTAAGACATATATTCATTAGCATCAACAGTTAGAATCTAATCATGTTGAATCTCCTATGGGTGGTAGAAAGTGTCTGAAAGGCAGTCAACCATGAACACATCTTGATCAGGAAAACTTTCTTTATCCAGGATCATCCATATTTCAGTATAGATTTGTATCCAAACAAGAAACGTACGAAGTCAAACTCCGTCATTACAAAATAGCTTATCTCTGATACCCCTTTCAATTGTAAAGTAAATCTTTGATCCTGTCAGCTTATTTATTTTTATTTTAAGGATATATGTCACCTATCTGTAAACATTTTTCTAGAAGAGTTCCACTGTTTGAAAATAAAATATATTTGATGAGTTGCTTATTCCGACAGATTTCATTCATTGTTAATGACTAATAAAAGTTATTAGATAACCCTAGTTAAACTTTCTAAGGGAAATAACTCTAACACTAAACAGAGGTTTTAAAACACCCATAACGTAACATATGACCTTAAGATATCTAAAATACCCAGCTGATCTAAAAGCCATTATTTTGATCCCTGCATGACTCTCTGTATTTTATAGGGTATATCTCATAAACCCTTCTTTTCCTCCAGGTAGTTGAGGGTATCAATGAATTTTCTTAAGTCTGGATTGTAAATGAAATGAGAAGTAAACGTATATTTCTGAATCTTTCACTGGCCTTATAGACTTGCTTTTAATGATGTAATATGATTTTGAGTATAGGACAGCCATATGTTATGACACCAGTCTCTTGTGCAATTTCTTCTGAGCATTAACAGGTGGTAAAGTAAATTTTATTTTTTAATTAAGAAACCAACAAGAGTAGTAATTTACAGCATTGATTTCTGATCTTGATTTGAACCAACAACCTCCTTTTCAACAGGCTGACAATCTACCTGTATCATTATATTAGGTGGCTGAAAAAGTATTTCCAATATTATCAATTTCAATATTTCAAACCTGCAGGCCTGTTGACTAATATACGGTATACTGGAAACTTTCGCTCTATCAAATTTTCGCCCTCTGCCTTCTCAGCCAATATATTAAATTACTATACACAATAGGTTAATTACTAATATTTTCTGTAATGACGAATTTGTCCTCATTGCTGAGGACGAAAAAGACATTAGTTAAGAAGCGGTGACAATTTCCCAGTATACATTAGACAGGTAAAACAAAGATGTGAAATATTCCGTTTATAACATTTAATCAAAATGTTGCTTTAATCATTATAAGACTTTAGATTTATTACAGTAATCATTAGCATAACAAATACATCTTGTTGATACCGCCAGGTACTTCCTGTCTTAAATATATAAATCAAATTTTATTAAAAACTATTTTGTCCTACGTCAATAAAACAGATGTTGGACCTTAGAATGATAACATCTAATTAATCTATA